TAAAATTAAATGCTTGTCTTGCCAAATTATATATTTATAGATAGTGAGTTTGACTGTTGGTGACCCATATCATGTATATCAAGGAAAATGATTCATTATTATTATTATGCACGTTCTTCTACTTTGAAAATCTTTTAATTAGTTCTAGACTCAAGTATGTTGTGTACGGTTTTGCTATGAAACAATCAGATGACTTAGTTTATGGAGTCATATATAGTTATTTATAAATGGTGTATTGACACGTGTACTGCAATAAACGCACATTAGACACATGTTATCACATAAAATGATGGATGGACTCCATAAGGGTGTCATTCGATGACTCTATAGAATTTCTAATGGTGCGTGATACGTTTTTTTTTTTTCATTTTATGGTCAAGATGTTGTATTGAATTTCAATTGAAAAAAAAGGGGTTCAGATACGATGATATAAATTGAAACAAATTAATGTGACGCATTGATTAAAAACAATAAAAAAAATAAAATAGATACGATGATATAAATTGGATATATATGATCTCTTGTTTCATTTCATATTTTATTTCATATTTATTTTTGTCTGATGAAAGATGCTCGTAAAAACATGATATTACCATGTACACGTGTCATTAATTCAAAACAATAAAAAATAAAATAGGACATTAAAAATGGAGCAAGAAATCTTATTTGGCATGCTATTATTATATCCTATAGTTGTATATATCATACTCATGGACTAGATCCTCATGTCTATATGAGGATATTGTAGATTTTATCAAGTGACACGCACCACACACAACGTTCATGTTTGCAACCACTTCCTCCAAATAAATAAATAAATAATCCCTCTATTCCTAATTATATATTTAAGGAAAATTGCTAAATTCCTGTTATGTAATCATTCCGTCGGTTGTAACGTTAGATCAACTATCTCCGACGGTTACAAGATGATTTAACCGTTACAATTTGTAACCGTTAGATCAACTATATATCTCCGACGGTTACCTGATGATCTAATGGTTACAAATCCCAATGAAATGGTTAAATACCTACAAAATAAAGCATAATTAATTAATTAATTAATTAACTACTAATCACAAATGGACAAAGGTAACACGTAAAAAGTCCAAATCGAATCCAAGAATGTCCGGATAAGTATGACACATAAAGATTATACAATGTTGACCCGAACATTATAGTAATGTTTTTTAGTTAGCATGATGATGATAATCCCAAGGGTATTATTGACTTTGTGAGCGCATCAATCCCACAACACTCGAGTGTAATCATATTATAGTCCACATTGATACTATACAGTATATTTTATATTATATGATATGATGACCTTAATTAGACTCATTAGTACATACATGTAAGTAAACATGGGTCTATTAAGTAATTAACATCAATTATTCCTACTTAGCTTTCATCATGTGAGAATTTGGGAAAAATATGTTGTGTATTATTCAAAAGACATGTACACATATATATAGGAACATAATGAGCCTAAATCTAATCCTACAAGATATAGACAAAATATATTATAACCATATATACAATATATTCTAACATACTAATATATGCTATCCATATATACAATATATTCTAACACCCCCCCTCAAACTCAAGGTGGTATAGTAGATAGCAACTTGAGTTTGCAAAGAAGTAAGCAAAAGCGACCCGGAAGGAGAGACTTTGTGAAGACACCAACTATCTGATCTGAGCGGCGCCACTATGAGCAGCCAGCCCATGCCCTCCTCCGCCGCCTCCACGGCGGACTCGTAGGAGACGCAACCATAATAGCTCTGCGGTGGAGTCAGCAAGAGCACGATACTCAGACTCGGC